TTTTTTCGCGGGGTGCGCCCCCCCCCCCCCCCTCCCCTTTCCATCTCCCCTCTTATTTTGCAGGGTTGTCGGTCCTACAAACGTCAACATGAGCAAATCATTTCTGTAAGTGCCAGAGCCGGCAGAGCTCTTCCTGTGCTCTCAGACACAGACATATCCCCAGGCTGGGACTCCTCACCCATCCAGTTTTGGAGTCACACTGCCCTTCCTATCATCCCAATGCCAGCATGGCTGTGGGATGTGGGGGGGCACCTCGTTCCCACCAGCCCAGCCATCCAGGCACCAGCAATGGCACCCTTTTCCTTGGCAGGGAGCAGGACTCAGCCCCGTGCAGGTGAAAAATGTAAATTTGGGGTGCACCAGTGCTTTCCCATGGTAACTGGACAAGTTTCCATGGTGATTATTACTACGGCAGGATGCAGCGCACACTTGGGGAGAGGCCTGGGTGGCACCAGGCAGAAGGGCCAGCCCCCAGCCAAAGTCTGGCAGCAGCAGCTCGCGGGCAGAAATTATCTGTCCTTCTGAATAAATGGATGCGCAGCGACGTTAGTTTGCTGCTGTTCAGGGGAAGGAGATGTTCATCTTTTTAGTAAATAGGCTGCAGATTTCACCACAGTCACGAATGGAAAATATCTCTGCCCTTTTTTAGTTGCTGTTTCCCTGGTTAATAAAAGGGTTGTGCTGTCAGTATTTTCACATAAAAAAATTAGTAATTTGAAGTTGCTTTGATTTTTTATTTATTTATTTATTTGTTTGTGTCTTTTATGACTCAGGTGCCTGGTTCACATGGCTGTCTCTGCCTGGCTCTGTGGTAGGGTGAAGGTCAGAATTATATTTGGGTTTGCTTCTTTCTCACCCTGGACATAGCAGTTTTGGAGGTGCTGGAAAGAGCATGTGGTGCTCACTTCTTGCCTTTAGTAAATCCCACTGGGACAAAAAGGGGCGAGTATTTTAGGGGAAGTGAGAACTCTCTGACCATGGTGGAACATTTCTTAGCCACAATATTTTTAGAAATGTTTGGTCTTAGGATTTTTGTTGAGTTTAAACAGGACACTGTCCCTCGACTCTGCTGTGCACTGCGGATATGTGAAGCTTTGTTTAAAAACATGAGATAGATGGACAGCCCTAGTCCTCGTTTCAGGCTGGGTACTGGTGTGTGTTGGGCGGTGGTGGTGTGTTGGCTGCAGGCAGCCCTCAAAGCCTTTTAAATTATCTGTGTTTACAGCTAAATATAAGTTCCTCAAAAGTCTTCGTACAACACTCACAGATGTATGTATATCCAGCATCTCTGTACATATACTGCACTGTATTACGGAGCTGTGAGCCTGAAGCGTGGAAATGTTTAACAGCTTTTCTTTAGCGATGGGGTCTTTAAAGGCAATTGCAAATATTATTTTAAGGAGGAGATTTATGCGGTGCCTAAAATATGTTTCTGGTTTGCAGGCCAAATTATGTCCATGCTGATGCTCCTGGCAGCCTGGAGCAGCCACAGGTGCCACTGACGGCGATGTAGAGGCGGCGCCAGCAGAGCCCGAGCAGCCCTGCACCATGGAGGAGCTGTACAAGGACGCCCCAAACCTGCCCATGGATGTCACCAGCTCACCCTCAGCAATGGCCAACAACAAGCTGGAAAACGGGGTAGCCCAGCTGATCACGGCAGAGGCCTGGAACATCAACTCGGCTGACCTGATGAAGAAGGCCCTGTCCCCGCTGGTGACCGTCCCTGCACCCTCCATCCTGACGCCACCGGCCGAGTCTCAGAGCGGGGTGGCCCTGAAGGTGGCAGCCACCGTGCTGCAGCCCATCTTCCT